TGCTGCTTACTCATCCACATGTTCCTGCACAGTGGGCGCATAGTCCCACACGATCTCCTCAGCTGCGATGTAGTATGTCCACTCCGTGCTCTGCTTTTTCTGCTTGATAGTCATCCGTCGCAGCGGCGCTTTGAAGCCACCGCACATCTCCACATCCACGAAGCCGTGCATCCCGGCTGCAGCAGGAGAAGCATTTTAAATGTGGTCACGTGGGTAAAGTCCGTGGTGGATGGATGACGCAGAGGAACACTTACCGTCCATGTGCTTGTTGGTGTGCGAGGAGAGCATCCAGCGGCCCGCGTAGAGAGCCACCATGCTGGCGGTGGCGGTGGAGCCGCTGATCAGCCCCACGGACGACACTTTATGTCCGGTCTGCTGCAGCACCTGCCCGTGCATGTGCACGGAGAACACCTCCGGCTGTGAGCTCATGCCCACCAGGTGCAGGCTCACAGAGGCATGAGCACACACTCTGACATCTGGACAGGGAGAAGAAGAAACCATCCATCACTTTGTGTGTCCTAACTTTGGATTATTACCCTGAGGGCGGGGTCTCTCATCCATCCACCATACATCTGTACATATCAGCAGGAGCACAGTACTGTCCCACATCACAAGCAAAGTTCCTCTGTTCCACAGAGAAATGCACACAGCCTGTATTCAGAAACTGAGCCTTAAAACCAGCCGTCAGGACTTCTGGAACTTTGTGATGTCACAACAAAGCAGCCACCAAGCCCCGCCCACCTGGACCCACCATCCAAACCTTGCAGGATTTGCTTTCTCTGAGTGTTTTGAATCATCAACACTGTTGTTATGGTTACTTGCTGTTTAACATACTTGGCGTCCTGACTTAGAGCAGAGGTTTAACTATTAACCAGAACTGAATCTGAGGTGTCACATGTTCACCTGCCAGGAAGCAAGTCTTCTCCATGATGTACTTTTTATGTTCTAGATCCAAACGGTGCGATAGTGATGTCAACAACAACAATAATCTACTGTCTAAAAATCCAACAAACATTATAATTCAACATGATTCGTAGATAAATATTAGAGAGTAAGAAATAAAGTCAAAAATCTGTTTCCCTCTGAAATATAGTTGAGGAAATGTTGCGGAAAATAGAAAAAGTTGATGTTGACGTGGGAGAAAGTCAAAGTTTTCCTTCGATGTAACGAGGATACCAAGGATCAGCTGGCTGACAGAGTTTGTCTGACTGTCTAAGTGTCTGACTGACCAGGTAGCGATCCCTTTGTGTATCCGTTGATGGTGTACTTGACGTGGTCGTCTGAGGTGTGGTCGCTCGGTGTGTACTTGCTCTCTCTCTCGTCAAAGACCCCAAACAGGAAGACGTACTCCTGGTGGATGCCGATCTGCCTCCCCGACTCATCCAGACTTTCTGGGAACAAAACGGAGAGACAGAGAGAGAGAAATTAACAGTTTGTGCTTCTCCCCTCCGTGAAACTAAAGGTGAGACAGGGCCAGGTTTTACTGCTCACTGGGTTTGCAGATGAGCAGAGCCCCGATGAGGCCTGAGTTGTAATCCTCCACGACCTTCCGGTGGGAGATGTAGGTGTAGGTGAGACAGGTGGGGTCAGCTGGCTGTGGAGAAACCTCTGACGTCACCTCCCAGTAGTAAACGTGCTCCCCGTTCGGGTGCACGACGTCATCCTCTTTCTCCTTCTGTGACGTGTTGTCGAAGTAGTTGGCTCCTGCAAGAAAAATACATTCAGTTTGAATAAGAGCAAAAAAGAAAAGGTGAAATGAATTAAATACAGTTGCTGTGCAGGGGTCTGAGGAGATTATTGACTTCCTTCAAATTACATTTTGCTTAAATCCCAAACTTAATGAAGATTTAATGAAGAGCTTCCTGTGAGCTTCCTTTCATTTTTAAAACCTCTGCTCATGAGGACACAGAGAGATTTGGACTTCAGTACTTTGATAATCTGCCTGTCCTGGTTAATATTTTAGAAAAAGACAAACAAAGTTGTTTGTTGTGTTGGCCAATCTTGTGTAATTATTAGAATGAGTAACGTCCTGATCACACACTGTGACCCGAGCAGACACTGTGAGTTACTGCTCGTCTTCAGGTTTTCCACAGCTGTCAGTCAGACGGGAATCGTCTGGGTTACCGTCACCCACCCTCCGACTGTTTCCCGTAAGCGACCCCGTGTGGGTGAATGCTGTGCGCTCCGGTCGCCATGTTTCTGAAAGTGACGACAATCGTCTCCCCCTCCTCGGCCCTCAGCGTGGGTCCGAGCAGACCTGTGGAGAAACAACACACTGAGGCAGCAGAACAAGCACCGACAGTTCACCATGACTCGTCTCTGTCTCTCTGTTATTACTGATTCACTGACCAGCAAATACAGTGTAATCACTGGCCTCTGAATTTTAATTTGCCTCATACATATATATGTTTTATCTTCCTGATAATACTTTGTGTTTCCACAGAAAGGAGTTTATATTTCTTTGGTGCTAGTCAGAGGGAAAATATTCAGCTGGGACAGATGTTAGTTAGAAAACTGACAGCTGTTTATTTATGTCATACTGTGCAGGTACAGGTAGGTCAGCTTTAATATCTCAACACAGTCCAGGCCAAATATCACAATATATCATATTATTGTTTTATATATTTCAGGTTTAAGTGATGCTGCCACTAATCAGCAGTTCAAAGTTTTATTTATCACATATTAAGGTTGAATGTTCAGTAAGAAAAGCAGTGAAATGAGGGTCAGGAAAACTGATGTGATGTACAAACTGATTCCTTCCTGGGAAATTACTGTGAAATTGACATGAAGTGAACTAGAAGACAGGAAGTGGATTTCTTCATAATTAGAGCCAGACAGACAGACAGATGAGTTTACCTAACCAGGAGGGATGAGTCTTAGCCTGTCTGAAGTCTTCCTCATACTCCCGAAAGACCACTTTCTTATAGGTGGGACCAGATCTACGGAGAGGTGGAAAAACACACGACATGAATCAGCGCACAAGAAAAACAAATGTGCAGAGAAATGAAAATAAACAAGATACGAAGATATGAAGACACAAGTTTTCTTCTGCATTATTACTGCAATTATGGTTGACCTAGCATGTGTCTTAATATGTGTGTGTGTGTGTGTGTGTGTGTCGTAGATAACAGTAACAAGCTGACAAAGACAAACTGGACTCTTTTTACAATGTCCAAACAGCTTCAGTAACAGAATACTGGTTTATTCTTTAAAATAAATAAATACATAATAATATCACAAAAATACAATATAAAATAACAAATATTGGAAACATTAAATCAAAAATAGTGTTTATGTAATTCTTATGATTTAATATCAAGGGTCCCACCTGTGTGTGTCATTGCCAGAGTACTTCCAGTCTATCTCGACAGCAGCGATGTAGTAGTGTCTCTTCCTGGGTTGGTGCTGGTCCGCGTTGACATGGAGGACAGTCAGGAGAACCAGGACGGGCAGGAGACGCCGAGCTCCGGCCCAGACACAGAGCCTCATATCTGGGATCAATCCTCCAGGTGAAACTGGTCTGTTCAGCAAGTGAAGAAGCTGTGATCTGACAGAGAGGTCCGCTCTGTGTTTTATCTGTCACTGACACACACACACACACACACACACACACACACACACACACACGTTTAAACATTATGTCCCAGGGCAATGAACTGTGTCTCTGCACATTTTTTTTCCTCTGTTGTAATGAAAACCTCATGTGTTTTGCTGTGAATCATCCACAGGGGTGTGCTCATTCCTTCAGCTCTCAAAACCATGGTAAATTTCTCTGACCTCAAAATGTCCCAGAACCGTAAAGACAAAAACACGTCATAATTCAAGCGTAAAACATTAATGTGTGTGTGTAACAGACGGAGACGACGCCCGTCCCAAACTCAGTTTATTTATGTTTGTGGAGGAGAAAATGTCGAAAGATGTGTATTTGTGTCGTTAATTTTAGTTTCATTTTTAATCATTATAACTGTATTGTACCTAAACAAAATAATTATTAACTTAATTTCTTTCTCGAGCCTGTGCAGTGCTCTGTAAATATATTTAGTTATTTTCCACCAGTCGATAAATAAATGAGCTCAATACGCTCCATTCAGCCTTATCCAAGACATAATTAAATATGGAGTGGTGATTGATTCATGAAGAAATAACAGAGTGTCATTCGTCTGATTTAGACTTCTGGATAATATGTGTGGACACATACAAAACAATTCAATGAAACATGAAAACTAATCAGAAAACATAACAACAGTAGAGAAAACATGACGTTAAAGAACATGATGCACCGCAGCAAAGATAACTACATTTAAGGAAACATATTATATTAATAATAAATACTACTAAAACCACTGACAGTTTCATTATTAGCATGTACAACCTGTGTTTGTGCATGTACAACCTTTTAAATGCAAAAATTTCCAATGATGTATTTTTCCCCTCAGGGCCACCGTATCATCTGTCCGATCTGTAAAGCACTAACCTGTGGGAAAGGTGTGGTCATTTTGTCTCTTTGTTGTTATTTTATATCTCTTTGTTTTTATTTTGTGTCTCTTTGGTGTTATTTTAGATCTATTTGTTGTTATTTTGTGTCTTTGTTGTTATTTTGTGTCTCTTTGTGGTTTGGTTTTGGTTTCATTATGAAATGTTAACAGTCACTTCATACAGAGACTCTGGTCCAGGAGTCCAGGCCTGCAGGCTACACCTGTGAAATCCATGATACTAACAAACTAGTTACCCTCTGACTCGGGGCAACAGGGGATTAGTCAGATTGCCCCCCCCCCCTACCCGCCCCTGCCGTATTTAGCCTCACACGTCATTGAATAAAAGCGTGCGAGCTAAAAGTAAAAACCTAGATGACTGTGTTTGAAACAGACCTCCATCTTGCTGCCAGGTGAGGACAGTCTGAAGTCAGAGGATCACACGATTCACACGGACCTGCGCTGCGTGTGGGATGACGTCAGCACGACACCTGTGGTCAATACGCGTGCGCCGACTAACCAGGAAGCGCGAGGGCTGCCGACAGTACGATGCTCCGGCTCGCGGATGTTTTCTTCAGCTATGTGGTTGGAACAGAGGAGAATAACAAGCGAGTCTCGGTAAGATTTAACGTCTCTTCGGTGACGTAGAAACATTCGACCGAACATGAAGAGCAGAAGAAGAGCGTGTCGTTTTCGCGGGAGTTGTTTTGTGTGTGATGCGGACGATGCTAACTCTGAGCTCACACACCTCGTCCGGTTCGGTTTCGCTTTAATTTAGTGAGTAAACACGTTAAACCTGCAGCTGCGACTCAATCTAAGATGTTGTGGTGATTAATGTGAGCATGTTAGAACAACCGGAAGAGAGTTAAATGATGTGTAAGGCTGCAGCTATCGATTACTGTCACACACATATATTGATTATTCCTTTGGTCTGTTGTGTACTGAATATAACAGTGTTGTACTGTTGTCGTACCGCTGTTATATTACTCTGTTATGCTGCTGTGAACATCAGACTTTTACAACTTACAAAGGCATGTTTGCACATATTGACTTGTACAGATAGTACATATGTTTATTTTATTTCTCTATATAACTCTATTAAACATATGAACCAGTGCCTTTCCAGATACTGTTATTTTAATTCTCCTTTTTAATTCTGCTTTTTAAGTGATGGCAATGTAGAGGAACTGCAAACTAATCTCATTGCAGTGGAACCTGTTGCTCTGTGACAATAAAGTTTCTGAATCTTCAAACGAGTGAAAAAATGTTCAATTACAACATCCATGGCCATATTTTCAAAAATAGTTGCTATTAGTATAGTGAGGAAATAAAATAATGTCATGAATAGTTTTTATTGATCAGTAAATCTCCTATAAAATGCCATAAACTGAAAAAAATAAAATCAGTATTTGTCTTTAAAACAACTTTAAAAATTCAAACCACATGATCAGGATTTTCTGGAGATATTAACTGCTCCTGATTCGCCTTCTCATAAAACCCTACAGTGAAAATCCAGTTTTAACATTTCTCTACACAGCTAATACAGCATAATCCAAGTGATATTTAGTCACATGAATTGCCCTGTTGTTTTCACAGCTCCATATTTGCCTCATTTTCGAATATATTTTCTTCACTCGTTCAGCTGCTGATCTCTGACTGGAGACGTTTTGCAGTTTTCTGACTGAGAGCGTTCGAGCTGTTGAAAACGACCATGTTGGTCTCGGTGTACAAGCCCTCACAGTTTCTCTGTGAAGCTGAAACTCTGGGCTCCTGAGACGCCGAGAGCCGGGGCTGATACCAGCTCTGTGTCTGTTTCTTAATGTGATCCAGCAGGTTTGACTGCATCCAGCTCCAGTCCCAGTCCCAGCCATGGTGTGCTGCCACTCCGGCCCCAGACTCTGCTCCCGCTCGTCGGCCTACACTCTAGCCCTCGGCCTGGGCTTCGTAACCCTGGGGACCAGTCGCATCCTGCTGCTCAAATTCTCTGCCAACGCTGGTGACTGACAATGACACAGATATTACTGCTTTTCCACACAGAGATTAACATATTTGATTAGCTTCTCTTCAAGTCTAAAACCATGTTAAATAGTTTTAATATCTATTCCCCTGAGGGGTTGGTGTCTGGTTGACTGTGTCTCTTTTATTTTGTAGAGAACAAGTATGACTTCCTCCCTGCGTCCGTCAATCTGCTGGCTGAGGCGCTCAAACTGCTCTTCTGCCTGGTTATGTCAGTCAGGGTCATAGTCCGAGGTGAACAGCTGTCTGTCGTATTGAATTTGTTGACGAGGTGTGTTTGTTTTGTGTTTTTAAACTCTTCTTCTCTGTTCTGTCAGAGGGTCGATCCTGCAGAGACCTGGGCTTCTCCTCCAGCTCGTCCTTCCTCAACTCCCTGAAGTGGGCCATCCCTGCTTTCCTCTACTTCCTGGACAACCTCATCATCTTCTATGTGATGACCTACCTTCAGCCTGTTAGTGAAGACTTAAATACGCTCTATGACCCCCAGCAGAAGGAAATATTCTGGCTTCTTTTTGTTGCATAAATTCCACTTATTCCGCTCCCAAATAACATGATAAGAAAAGCAGAGAAACATTATCTAAAAGCAGATTTCACCGTCTCATATCACACCGGCTTTTATAAAACGTCCAGTCCAAACTGTCTGTGTTAGATACAGTCGTTGTGTTTTATCTCTCTGCTTCCTGTCCTCCCTCTCGTCTCCAGGCCATGGCGGTGTTGTTCTCCAACTTCGTCATCCTGACCACAGCCGTACTCTTTAGAATTGTTTTGAAGTAAGTGGCAGAGTGAACCACTCTGAGATGTTCTGTTCTTCAGTAGGACATTGATGCATCTTTATCTTATTTTCTCTTTTCAGGCTGTTCTTGTTTTTTTGTTTTGTTAATGAGGCATTTAACATTTTAATCAAAAGTTTCATAGTTTTTCTTTTTTTAAAAATCCCTTCACTAATAGTCTTTTCTACTGTGCAGGACAATATCTCTGTATTATATATAAATTAGACCACAGACCGGCGACAGTCAGAGCAGCAGCCATGTTGTTTTCAAGGATCAACTGATGAGATTTTAGTGGTAAAAGGTCAAGGTCATAGTGACCTCACAAAACACGTTTTTAGCCATTCCTCAAGACTTCACACAGAGATTATGACACAATTTGACAATAATGTTTAATATGTTATCTGACTCTGGATAAACAGGGATGTAACCTGAAACTAGTTTGAGTGGCGGAGGGATACGACCACGAGGAGGTGACTCTAGCTGCTTTTAGATGTTTTATTACAGAAAGTGTTTAAACCCATGACCTAAATATTCACACATTCTGCCATTGTGTTGGATGGTGTTAAATGATTCCCCTTTTTACTGGGGACCACCAGGAACCTGTGCAAGGACCCATGAGGGTCCCTGGACCCCACTTTGAGAACCACTGCTGAAAGAAATAGCAAGATGTAACTTTTTTATCACTTTTTTTATCAGTGTCATGAAATGAGGCGTCTTGTGTTGTGTGTGATTCTGTGTATTTGACTCCAGTGGAAACCTCAGACTAAACTTAACTTTGTGTTTCCCTCCTTCTTCCTGCAGGAGGCGTCTGTCCTGGGTTCAGTGGGCAGCGTTGGTCATCCTCTTTTTGTCCATCGTTTCCTTGACGACGGGATCAGGAGGCAGCCAGAACTCCATCGCGGTCCCGGGTCTCCACGCGAACCCCCTCTCCACCCCCTCCAACGCCTGTGTGCTCTACACTCAGCTGCTGGAGCAGATGAGGAACAGCAGGTGACGTGATGGATTCAGGAACAGATGAATGATTGAAGATTATTTACTACATGGGATAAAATATCTATTATTATTTTGTGATGCAGGTGTAAATTACAGCTTTATTATTATATAACGTGTCAGGAGGATGTAGCCTGATGTAGCCTGAACACTTAAGAAATGAGGGATGAAAGACGTTCTGCTGATGTTGTAATTGATGTTGATTCTTTCATCACAGTGCCAGTGAATCCTGGGCGTCGTCCCTGCCCGGACAGGCCTGGAGGGACAAGGTGGTGGAGAAGCTCCGGTCTCTGGGCGTGGGTCACGTCCTGCTGATTCTCCAGTGCTTCATCTCCGCCATGGCCAACATCTACAACGAGAAGATCCTCAAGGAAGGAAACCAGATCACTGAGAGCATCTTCATCCAGAACAGTAAACTGTGAGAGGCAGCCGGTCAGGACAGTAATAAGACAGAGGACAGGTGGTTAGCTTCAGTTCTAATCTGAGCCCTCTCCCGCTGCTGCTGCAGGTATGCCTTTGGCGTGGTGTTCAACGCTCTGACCCTCGGGCTCGGCAGCGAGGCGCGAGGCCTCACCGTGCACTGTGGCCTCCTGCATGGACACAACTTCTACTCCCTGGGTCTGGTGCTGGTCACTGGTGAGTGATGGTGGAGAAATGATGAGATATGTGAGCAACTAAAACCAGTTAATAGTTTAACTTTTTGGAAATACACTTATTTCCTTGCTATGCTAAGCTAAACTAACCATCTGGATGTAGCTTATAGGAGCTATTTGTGCGTTTTTTTGCTATTGCTACATAGCTAACGTTAGCATTAGCAGCTGTTTACTTACCAGTCTAGAAGAAACGTTGTGAGTTCGGCATCAAACTTCATTCCTTTACTCACCAACATCTGTCTCCAGAGGTGGAATGCAACCCTTTTGTTTTGCTTCTATTTCTATCACTTATTTTCTTGTATTGAAGTTAGCATGCTAACCTGCTAGCGCTGGTCTGCCTCGTCACTGTAGCTCCAGTCTGCCCTGAAGAAGTAGCTGCTCAGAGGACGTATTATAACCTCTTGTCTTGTAAATGCAACGATGGCTGAAGCTCTTGGTAAGACTGGTAAATAAACAGCTATTAATGCTAACATTAGCTATGTAGCAATAGCAAAACTTAGAAATAGCTCCTTTGATATTTAATAGTAAAATATGAGAGTGGTATTCATCCTCTCATCTTCCTCCTGGAAAGAAAGGTAATACGTGTAATTCCCCAAACTGTTTTCTACATCAGTGATCTGAAATGTAACAGAGGTTTTATGTGTTCATCTACAGAAGTCTCTGTTTCACCAAATTACACGTGGTTAACATGAAGTTATCTTTTCAAAATAAGAAACCGGACAAGTAAAGTAGCTCAGTGGAGCGGTGATCCAACAGAAAGGTCTGGCTAAACCATTACCTACTCCTTCCCAAACCCTTACTGTATGTCTGAATGACTGTATGACCCAGACTGTATGCTAAGATCAGCTAAGCTAAGGCTGTAGCTTCATTACAAACTACACTGAGATGGTTTTTGGTTCTTAAAACCACAAATATTTCTTCCTATGGATCAACACTTCAAATAAAACACAGGAGAAGAAGAAAACATGGAGGTTAAATGTCGGAGAGGCCGCAGACTCTCGTCTGGTCTGACGGTTTCCCACAAGCAGCAACCTCAGACTTTTTGCTGTGACGTGACTGAAAGTTAGTTTCCGCCCTTGTTACTGAATATAAACTCAGACCACATAAACATGAGCAGTGCCGTGGTTTTTCTCGACAGCTCAGTCATTGTTTGCAAGAGTTCGCTTGTCAGGGAAATGCATTTTAAGCTTTGGAAGAAATCACCAGCAAAGTCACTGGAAAACTGTCTCCAGATAAACTTATTAACATCAATAAAGAACATTAAAGCTCGGTGAGTTGTAAGGTAACGACCTCTCTCTCCTCTGTCTCCCCAGCTGCCCTCGGTTTATCTGTGGCTTTCATCTTGAAGTTCAGAGACAACATGTTCCACGTGCTGACGGGCCAGATCACCACTGTTCTGGTCACCACCCTCTCCCTCTTCCTCTTCGACTTCCGCCCCTCGCTGGACTTCTTCCTCCAGGCTCCCGTGGTCCTGCTGGCCATCTTTATCTACAACGCCAGCCGGCCCAAGGACCTGGAGTACACCCTGCAGCAGGAAAAGCTGCGGGTCATCAACGGAGAGGTGTTCGAGAGGTCCAGAGGGGTAGGAAGCCAACCGCAAATCTTCAACACAGCATCCCTCACCTAACCCCCACGTGAAGCCCCTCCCGCTCCTCCCACACACATACCTCGCTCTCTGTAGGAAACTTGGCTCTCGTTCCTCTATAATGTGATTTCAGGAAACCCGACCCCTCGCTATGAAAACAGCGTTCAGGCTCACGCTGGGGCCGTGCCTCACGTAATTTCATTAGGTCAATGCGGTCTATTGGATTTTAAAAGAGGAAGTTATTAAACAGACCAGATCTCCTCGGGGGCCTTGTGAGGACACCGTCCTGGACTGAGCAGGACTCGGAGGTGGTTTCCATGACTGAGGAGAACCTCTGTTGTGTGTTAATAACAGTCCTCAGACGTAACCTTTGTTTCTTTGGTGGAGCACTAACAAAAACTGGTTGCTGGTTAATAGCTGCGGCTTTAAAACGCAAAGTATTGCCCCTCTGAGCCAGTAAATCCTGCTCTGCACCGTCTTAAAAACAACCTGGGAAGTTGTTGTTTGGTGATGATACTGAGATAGAGACGAGAAATACCTTGTGTCTGCAGGTTTGTCCACCATGTTCCACCTCCTGATCTGCTGTGTGTGTGTGTTCTGTCGCAGGACGGCGAGGAGCTGGAGCTGCTGACCAAGCCCAACACGGACAGTGAGTCTGAGGACTCTCTGTAGCGCCACAGCCTCTTCACTGCTGCTAATATCCCACTGCACAATAGACTCGTACCCCTGAACGCAGCACAGTCACAGGCTCTGTCTGTTGAAGCGTTTACTTCACTGACGTCAGGTAAACAGAGAATGACAGTGTTGATTTATTGTGTGTATGTTTTGAAATGTGTGATTTGTACAGTGAGAGAGGGACACCAGCGTTAAGCTGTATATATGCTGGATAATTATAACACTGCATTTGCCAGTTGGGATCATTAGGAGCTTCTGTTATTGTCTCCTCTGATGATTCCTGTTGTGTGTGCAGCTATTTCACTGACTGCAGGTGAGTGATAAGTTTAATTAATGAGCAGCTGTTTAATGAATGTAACTAAAGCTTTACACTATTTTTAATTATTGCTGGCGCGGTGTTGATTCTTTGAGGCTGCATGGAAACAATCTACAAACTACAGCTTCAAAAATAATCACAGCATTAGAAAATATTAATTACAAGAAATATACACACCACGAGCGAGCGAGCGACACACACACACACACACACACACACACACACACACACAGAGGACTGTTTATTCCATTACTACGGCCGAGTATTAGGGCCAGTGAGGAAATAAAATCAGAAAGTTCAAGAATGAATATTAAGAGAATAAAGTGGTAATTTCAGGTAACATGTTGTTTTACAGGAGAAATATCTTCAAATAAGGAAATTGAAATATTAGGACTTTATTCTTCTAGTATTACAACTTTTTTTTGTAATAGTACTACTTGTTTTCTTGAAATATTAAAACTTTATTCTCAAAAATGTTTTTCCTCAGTGTGGCCCTAATACTCTGTCGTACATTACAGTGTTCAGGGGTTTCTATTTTTCTTCTTATAGCTGAACCAGAACCATGAGCACACACGTGATCGACCACTGAAGTGTGAATTTCTAAAAGCACAATGCAGCTGACCCTTGGTTCTTTTACTCAGCCTTTTCTTTTGTGTATATGTATCGCAGCTGTGAAATACCATGAAATGTTATTTCTTTTAAGATTCCTGTTTGTGCCATAAACATTTTTAACATGTATGAATTCCATTTGTTCTGAAATAAACTGCAAGTAAAGTAAACTGCTTTAATTCTGTCTAAGTTATAGGAACAGTAGTGGAAGTTAAAGTAGAACTATCATTTTATTCCCTGTTTTCTATCTTAAAGCTTTTCTAAAATCAATATCATGTTTCACCTTCACGTATTAAATAGATGTAGAACTTAATACTTACAAGGTCTCCTGCTGCACTGAAGCTTCAGTGCTGTTTTGGATAAAAGCATCTGACACATGAGTAAATGTAAATGTTTAGTGAAATATTGCAATATTAAGACCTAAAAGCAGCTGCACCATTACACAAAATAAGTTCAAGATGTCCTGTGCACAATCTTATACATATTAAAGCTGAATTTAACATGTTTTACGTTTAGAATAAAACATGAGTTTATAATGTGTTTGACCTGCTGAAGACAACATGAGGTTGAGGAGATTTTTTAATTTACAAATGTGTTTCCTTCATCATGAAATGTCCAGGACAATATGACAGAAAAGTATTTGTATTTCCACTCGTCCTTTTATTCGGCCACTAGGGGGAGATGTAGCTCTAAAGATTCTTCCACTGACTCCGACACTGCACAGAAACCAAGTCAGAGAGCATCACTGGTAGTAAACAAATGTTTATTTTTCATATAGGACAATAGAGTATAAATAAGAACATTGTATAGCAACAGAAACTTTACAAAAGAGAAATAACGTGACAGCTTCTTCTTCATAACTGCACCTCGAAAGCAACAGATGTCCAATAAATACACATGTCTTATCTTTAGCCCATTATCTACAAAATAAAGGTCTGTGCTGATACTGAACGTGATTAGGTAAATTTGACCTGGAAGGCAAGTGAAGGAAACGTAACGTAACGACGTGCAAAACACTCAAAATAAAACATCAAAACTAAAGTAGACGACAGATCCCTGAAGCTCCAGGACCATCTGCGCGGTTACTGACTAACCAGCTCTGAGTAAAGCCCCGTTACTTGCAGCAGTCTATCTATATACTGTATATCGAAGAGCTGTGATTGGTGGAAGCCACGGCTTGGAAGCTTCCACTAAGTGCTACGAAACATTCACGGACCACAGCCCTGCAGAGGATGGCTAGGAAAGATTAAAGAAGGTCATGAGGTCATGACCAGCTGCAGGGCAGAGGGAGAAGTTAACTCGTTGGTTAGCACACACAACACAGACACTCATACACACACACACACACACACACACACACACACACACACACACACACACACACACACACACACACACACACCCAGTTAGTAACCGTAACCCTGGTGATAGCCGTCCTGGTAACCGTGTTCGTATCCGTGTTGATGGTAGCCGTAGCCGCCGTACTCGTCCTCGGGGCAGCGCATGCCCAGTGACTGCTGGATGGCCATTTCCTGTCTGCGCAGCTGCATAGAGTCCACCAGGTCGTAGATGATGGCCATGGACCACATGGGCGACGGGTACCAGGACTTCACGTTGCCGTCCTTCCCCACCAGCAGCATGGAGAAGTACTCCGGGCTGACCTGGAAGTAGTTCCTCATGTCCTTCACCAGGGTGGCGGACAGACCCTCGCGCTCCACCGTAGCAGTTCCTGGATGGAGCAGAGGCGGGAGGAGTCAAGTGTTTAAAGACGGGATTTATATTTTTACAGCCGTGTTTTCCTGCGCAGACCTTCACTGAGAGAAGCACAAACCACTTCAGACCTCTGGCAGCAGCTCTGGTTTCTACAGTCTTGCCCAAGCCTGACTCACATTTCTTTTTCTTTCTTCAGCACAAACTTTATTCCCTGTTTGTTCAAAAAACAAACAAAAAAACCTAAACTGTCTTTGTTAACAAGAAACCTCTGAGGTTCCTCTGGGGACATGGTGGAATAGCAAGTTCACTGAATCCTGATGAGAGGTGGGACACAGAAACGCGTAGGGCGGGGCCTGGGCGAAGACCTCTGACTTGGAGCGTGAGGGAAGACGTGCTGTTGGGAGGGAGCGTGTGCATAATGGTTCTTACCGTTGATAGGATAGAGTTCCAAGACTCCGCCCATATCCGGCGTCTCCGTGCCGACCAACTTCAGGACTGCGATGTGCCTCAGACCTACGTCGCCATGGCAACGACAGACACACAAGAGAGAGAAGCAAATGTCTTAGACAAGATAGAAGCAAACAGGGACACAGTGTCCGTCAGTCCACACTGATTCCACTGTGGTGGATTGGTGTTTATTATTGGGGCCGTCCTGAGCGCCGGCCTGGAGGTGCGGCGTGGAGATCGTGGTGGTCCGGAGGAGTCCTGCCAAAAGGCCTGTTTCCTCTGAAGCGAGAAAGCCCACATTAAACACAGGAGAACGCTGGCTTTACTCGGTGAGAGCCAAGTCCTGAATACCAGGATCAGACCTCTCAGGCCTTCAGCCCAGTCAGCAGGGACAGGCCTTTGTCTGGGCCGAGGGAGGGGGGGAGGCGAGGGAGGGGGGGGGGGGAGGGAGGAGGGAGGCAGGCCCTGGTGCCAACCGGCCAAGAGGCAACACATGAGTGCGGGGAAAAAAAGTCCTCATGGACCCTGGTGTGGGTTTGCTGATAAGTGAGACAAGCCCCCCCCCCCCCCCGACTCACTCATATGGAAAAACAGTCCACAGGCTGACGTCAGCCATGTTTGAATAAAACATATTTCATAAGAGACGTTCAGCACATGCTATAACTAAGAAACCATTTGTAAAGGTTCACAGATTAAAGCTCAGGCGACCCCTCCCTCTGACGGTCTGACCTCTCACGTCTTTATTTACTCTTTATTCCACGTTTTCATTTCATCTGACAGAATGAGCTTTTATCCACGCCGCGGGAGGATCAAGTCTTCGAGTGGCCCGAGGCAGCAGGTGCATGAGGTAAAACACCTTTATGTTTTTATTTCTTTTATTTTAATAACTATTTAAAGAGGCTCCTCTCTTCTGATTGGCTCACCGACCTGTTGTTACTAGAAACATGGAGCTTTAAATGAAAACACTTAAAATAAAATAGGTGATGTCTCCTCAGGAAAGTATTAAATCATTTCCTCAGTTATTGTCTTGATTATTTTTTGAGTAAGATTTTAGTCAGTGACAAGTTCTCACAGCCCAAATGTTCTGTTAGAGTTAAAGATGTTAATATTTAAAGACTGAGCTTTAAATAGTAAAAAACTGTCTTAGTTTTACTTTTTCAAAGTCATTACTGATCTTTAAAGCATGATGAATCATCTATCAGCCATTAATAAAGCCACTAGTTTCAACCTACAGTGTGTCTGATGAGAAAGAGGCACTTGAGAGCAGCAGCAGAATAAGTGGCAATAACTCCAGTACGGTCTGAAATCTTCTCGAGCTGTTCCTCATAAGAGGCGAATGGAGAGCAGCGCAGGAGTCAGAGTCATAACTGTGACAAACAGATGGAAGTTAAGAGCCAGAGAGAAACGTCAGAATCCTTCAACTCGTATAAACAAGACGGGAACATGAGGTCCAGCCCGGGAAGACGCTCCTGATGACAGCATTTATTTGCCTTTCCTGAGAAGCGAAGAGCCATTTAACGTTTACATTAATCTTACATAAGTCTGACAGACACGTCAGGTTGTTGAGATTTACACGGTTTAGATAAATGTGTCTTTTTAAAATTTTTAAAGATATACAGTAATAACACTTTAGTAACTGTGGAAAAGTTGACGAACAGGCGGCTGAACAGGCCGTCGTCGTCAGGGAGGGAGAACAGGACAGAACAGCTCTCTGCCAGCTCTGTCATCTGGCATCCCTCTGCACACACACACACACACACACACACACACACACACACACAAACACAGATGCTGATAATATCTGGAGGCTTCCAGTAAACAAAAACATTCCATGTAATCAGTTTGCTCATGTGATGGACATATTCATGAGTGGTCTGACTAAGACTTTGGCAGGCGGAGGAGGACACATGTCTGGGTAACTTTAGGTCACCGTGAAACATCGGGAATCTGCTTAAAAAGCATAAAGAAATCGTTATCACAAAGACTGAGGAGAGATTAGATTCTGTGCAGATGCATTCCTGCAAACTGGTTGTTTTCTGTTGTAGATATACAGGTTAATATGTGTGCTGCGATAACAACTCCAGACATTTTCAGTGGGCTCAACATCCCTGATTAACACACAGATGACTCAGCCTGCGGTCGCTGCAGTAAAGCTTTAACAGGTCTGTCCTGTTTGTTTCTGGCTGCAGCCACAGGAAATGGGAGAAAGGACAGAAGACAGCAGCAGGAAATCTCAGACCGCTCACTCATCAGCAAAAACTGCATCACAGTGTCTCATTTTGAAGCACTTTAAAGGACGAGTTCACTCAAATCACATAATTTAGCTCTGCGGGTTTCTAACCTTGTAGACTGCTTCAGTGTTACTAATAGAATAATATGATTTAATGTGTAGTGGTCAAAGTGATTTGAAGCTCCTCCAGTGTAAAGTCTCTGTCCATGTTCTATATATTCTATATTTCTATATTAATACTGTGAAAGTATCGAAGCCTCAGTCCACAGAGAAATGCACAGATTTGATGTAAGATTTTCCTGAGTTAACGTTTCCTTTAAATGTCACCGCCCTCAGCCATGCCCCACCCTAAGCCCCGCCCACCTGGACCCACCATCCAACACTTGCAGGATTTGGTTTCGCTGAGTGTTTACATAAAACCTGCTGTATTTTAATACTTATATTTCATATTTGAAAGTTGAGAGATGACAGGAAGTAAGGGACGGAGATGCCACAAGCTCCCCACTGCTTTGTTGTTGTTGTTGTTGTTGTTGTTGTTGTTGTTATTTGAGTGGCCCTTTAAAGCTCAGGGAGGTGACGTGGGTTAGGTAAAGAGTGACGGAGCCGATGGCTGATTTCAGGTGACTCACCCAGGTTGCAGGCCTGGCTGGTGAGGGCGTAGAGCTGCTGCTGATAGGCCCACTCCTCGTCGCTGGGGGCGGAGATGATGAACAGGCGACGTCTCCAGCGGAACCTGCAATCACAGTAAATTTTTAGCCTGGATTTAAGTGGCACTTTGGTGCAGCAGTGAACGCTCCAACATATCGCCATACTCTCCCTGCCAGGAGGATCACAGGCCCAAATTATGGTCATAAAAAAAAAAAACCTGCCAGATCTCAGCGCTGTGATCTGGAGCTGGAGGATCCAGGTCTCCATGGTAACAAAAGACATCTCGGGGGGGAATGTGACTGCAATGATTCAGCCTTGAGGAACGGCAGGAGCTCGTGTTACTTTTAATATCCGTGGAACACACACAAACAGGCTGCCGCAGTCTGCCAAACGCTGCTTATAAACGCTATAAATTGTGGTCCAGCTGATTACTGAGCACAGCAACAGATGTTTGACGGAAGCGGGAACAGTCTGCTGGGGCCACCCAATAATTCTGACAACCAATACCTCAGGAAAGACAATATCTCCAATTCAAAGACCTGCAGCTTTTCTGTCCAACAGCTAAATATAAATGAAGCCCAGATATTCACATACAGTGCAGTCTGCTCTTTCAGGTGGTTGGTAGAAACTAGAACCTCCTCCTCGTGGTCGTATCCCTCCGCCACTCAGACTAGTTTCAGGTTATATCCCTGTTTATCCTGTGTGAAGTTTTGTCATAATTGACCTTTGACCCCCAAAGTCCAGGTGAATGTCCTGTCAAGGTGTTACCGAGATGTCGTGTCCACATGAGACAGACGGACGGAGAACCTGAAGACAACACGGCCTCCTGCTCTGACTGTCGTCGGGCGGAGGGATAAAAACACCACATGGCTTTAGTGATACTTTACACAATAATGTGCCTCCAGCTTTGTGGCAACACTTTCAGGAAATCATCAAACACAACAGTGCAGCAGTCAGGTGCCACAAAGAAATGTCTTTTCCTTGGGTGTGGTGTGGAAGATCCCTGACCTCAGCCCCACCCTGTATCTTTTAGATGCTATGCTACAGATCTTGTGTCTTAACGGAAAGAAAATCTCGATCCCAAAGGTGTGACGTTTGGGGTGTCCACATACTTTCGTCCACGTTGTGTGTTTGAATCCTACCTGGAGAGGAAGTTCTCCAGCGATCTGGGCTTGTCCTCCTTCTTACAGGCGACGCCGTCTCTCTTCTGCTGCTCCATCTCTCGGATGCGGGACGAGAAGGTGTCGATGTAGTCGAACACGGCCTTCATGGCGATGGGAACCTCGTAGGATTGCTGACAAAAGAACATCAACAAGAACCGGTCACGCTCTGCCAACTGAAAACCTGGGCGAAGCCACAGAATAAACACATCAATACACGTGTGGAAGGAAATCTGGAAACGACACAGTCCCACTGCTTCAAACAATGGAGGGACCTGTTCCCAATAAAGTGATGACGTGAAGTGTTTGAACGTGTTCGTGGTGTGACCTTTGCTGCGGCTACAGAAATCCTTTGTAATAACTTCTGGAGAGACACAACACAGCAGCGTCCCCGTCTCACTTCCCGAATGCTCCGAAACCTCAGCGTGAGCGTCTGACACATGCGAGAAAATGCACCACAGACACATACACACCCTCACAGCTTCCTCGGGGTGTGTCGACGCCGCTGCACAGCTCTTTCACACCTCCCTGCACTGCGCTCTTTCTGCCTCGTACCCAACACCCACATCCTCACACACTCACAGACTTCCCTGTCTCTGCCTCTGTCAGCACAGAGGTGAACACTGGCCTCTTTGATGAATCTGTCCAAAAACAGCCTGGTGATTTATCCTGGCACACACACACACACACACACACACACACACACACACAGGTGTTGGGCAAATGTCATGTTGTGTGAATTAAAACAGTGTTTCAGTGAAGGCAGCGTGTTGGCAGTGTGAGGACGGGTCAGTCCGCCTTCAAAGAGAGAGAGAGGATGAAAGTGTTGGGCAGATGTGCGGTGGAAGTGTAAATACACGAGCGTAAGACCAACAGCAGCGCTTTGAATACAGCAGAAAAACAGGCTTAGAGGGAAAATGTGATTCAAAACATGTTCAGATTGTTAAAATATCACGCCACACTCGGAGCTCTGTCTCGGTGTAGAGGCTGGATCCTTCACAGGACGTGGCCCCTGAAGCCTGGAACCTCAGGGAAGTGTAAAGAATCCAGAGACACTCACCCTCACCCTCACCCTCACCCTCACCCTCACCCTGTCATCAGGTCGATGGAAGGAAACATCCATAAAGATTCAATTTTCAAGTGAGAGTTCATGTCTGCTTTCATTTAATCTATTATCCTGAACAGTTTCAGTGTTTACAGTGTTTCTATTGTTTAGTGTTTCTATTGTTTACAGTATTTACAGTATTAACAGTATTTACAGTGTTTACAGTATTAACAGTATTTACAGTGTTTACAGTGTTTCTATTGTTTACAGTATTTACAGTGTTTACAGTATTAACAGTATTAACAGTGTTTACAGTGTCAGTGGTGGATGACCACTCAAGTGCAAACACTTGGTAGAGACTCTCTGAGGCTGCACAGTGACGCGCTGAGCTAAATGCTAATGTCAGCGTGCTAAGATGTAATGTTCACTGACTGTGAACTATTCATATGTAAATGTGTATGAGAACACATGTATCTCTCCTGTCTGCTAATATATTAATGTAAATATTTATTTCTTCTTGTTTTTTTTTATTCAACTTTTATTTATTTTGTCTGTTTTTTCTTCTCTGTGGCATTTTGTGATTATTTCTGTTTTCTCACTAAATTGGGGATTAAAATGGACAAAATTAAAGTTGAATAAAGTGTATATTTAAAAAAAAAAGTTTTTAGCCAGGTAAACAGCGTTAACAGATGTTGCTAAACGTTATTTTTCTTAAATAAACATTTTATTCAACCTTAATTTTGTCCATAATAAGCTGGTCACCTAATATTTCCTGGCTTTACAAATTTACAGAGGTTTCCTGAATGCAGTAGACGGAGGGAGGACACACCAGCTCGGTCCAGGTCCAGGCAGAACATACAGAACCTGGACGGGCTTCAGAGGATCCAGCCTCTATGTTTGAGCCACAGGTGCAGAGGGCGAGTCTCTACCTTGACTCTCATGTCGGTGTCGGTGAGGATCATGTAGAAGTCGTCGTGCGTCATGCTGAACTCCTTCCTCAGCTCTGTGATCAGATCCTGGTTCACCAGGTCCTCCTGACGAAGACCCTTCATGGGTTTGTCGTTCTCTGGAGACGAGAAGAGGCAGAGGTCAGAGTCTGAGAGACAGTGTTTGTTTATTTACTGTAAATTCTGTTGAGGAGTAAAAGTTTATACGTCTCCGATTTTACTTTGATATTTTGCTCCACAAAACATCTGACACCCTTTATTGTTCACGAGCCTCCGACTGTGTGACAGATAAAAGCTCTTAGACAAACTGTAGGAAACGTGACTGTCAGACGTCTTTAATGTGAAATGATGAACAATCGTGGCGATAAGATTTTTCCATCAAACAAACCACAGTAACACAAACACAGTGTGAGCGTTCGGTCTCAGACATCAGCAGTAAAAATGCGTTTTCCACTGTGAAACTCAAAACAATGTTCCTTTGAAAGACGTGTTTGAGGAGACGCTGCAGCAGAATGGAAACACGCAGAGTGAATCCGGGACAAGTCGACAAAGAGCAGCTTTTATTCGCTGAGATCTGGCGGGGTCGGATGACTTCGAAATTTACTGTAGCTGGCGTTTACACAGGCCAGAGCGAAAGCCTTTAATCACCACTCTCTCCGTGCATGCATGTGCACAACACACACACGCACGCACGCACGCACACACACACACACACACACACACACAGACCACAGAGCTGTGTGTTTTGGTGGTGGTTTCACCCACTCTGTGATGTGTAATGTGCATGAGCAATCACATCAGGAAAACCCCAGCAGCATTCTGGGAGACAGGAGACACGCCACATGTTACTGACCAAACACTGTGAAGTCACACTAAAATGAGGGAGGGGCGACACTGAAAGAGCCAGTTGTTTGTATACAGTATATGCTCACACACACACACACACACACTGACCCTCCGGCTGGTCGATGGAACAAAAGTGTAAGTATAGGTGGGGGCGGGCGACGTCACCTCAGCTCTTTTTCCAGCATTCCTTCTGGATAAAACTTCGTCGTCATGTGGAGCGACACACACTCGTAAAGTTTTTACAAAGTGGGTTTACACGTTAACACACACTAACCGAAGCCTCGGGTTCGAGACGGCTGTAAAACGTCTCAAAATATGACACAGCACCTCTCGTAAAAACACTGCCGGTTCATTTCCTTTCAGTTTGAAAAAAGGGGGGCGGATTTTTAAAAGCTTAAGTCATAATTGCATTGAGAGTGTGTGTGTGTGTGTGTGTGTGGGTGTGATGATGTAACTGTCTCTGGCTGTCCAGCTCCAGATAAGAGGAGGCAGACTTGCCCTCTTGTACAGGAGGATGATACACGAGGAAGGTATGTTTTCTGGAAGATGCCCCCCCCCTCCTCCCCTGATACGTGTGATGCTTCAACAGCTGCTGAACTCATCTGACACAACCACTCTCTTCACTAAAAATACGACTCCAAAGTAATGTAAAAGTTACTGAGAGAGTGAAGTCAAGATCATGGGAATCAGAAGTGTCACCTGCACAGACGAGGACTCAGGCTTTGGCAGAGTCACTGTACGTCCTGACTGTTAAAGCAGGAGCAGAGATCGCTCCAGTCTGACACCATGTGAGGAAGGTAAAACAAGGACAGGACAGAGGACGTGGCAGCAGACACCTCTCTCAGCCTCAGTCTTCATATTGTCAACCTTTGCATAGTAAAACTTTCCCTGAACGCAGAGTGGACAAATGTCCAATATACTGTGGTGAGAATGCAGTTGTGTAATTCTATAGAAATAAATTATAATATTCTTGAAATAATGCAAATAATTTCCATTGAATTACTGAAGTTATACCAGATATTTTACAGTGTAGGAAGACGGCAGAATACCTTACACTGTTAATGTCAGTCTTTAAAGGTCCCATATTGTATAAAGGTAGATATAGACTTGTAGACTTGTAGGCATATGTAAATATGTATGATATATTAATGTTGCATTTTGTGATTATTTTTGGTTAATACACTTCTCATCATAGTACATAAAACAGTTAAAGCTCCTCCAGTGTAAAGGTCTGTGTCCATGTGTAGTGTGATTATAGATCAGCTCTAGCTTCTATATTAATACTGTGAAAGTATCAAAGCCTCAGTCCACAGAGAAATGCACACAGCCTGTATTCAGAAACTGAGCCTTAAAACCAGCCGTCAGGACTTCTGGAACTTTGTGATGTCACAACAAAGCAGTCACCAAGCCCCGCCCACCTGGACCCAGCATCCAAACCTTGCAGGATTTGTGTTTTTACCTGAAATCTGCTATATTTTTATTGGATCAGTCAGAAAACAGTCAGCCAATCTGAAGAGAGGCTCAGAGCCTCCTCTCTTCTGATTGGCTCACCGACCTGTTGTTACTAGAGCTCCAGAGAGAAGCCTGAGAGAGGAGATGTAAAACTACACTGAGATGCTTTTTGGTTCTTAAAACCACAAATATATCTTCTTATAGATCAACACTTCAAATAAAATACAGAACAAAATAAGGAGCTTTAAATTATCAACCAAAACAACAGGACCCACTACTGTAGTTAGAGACATCAGAAAACCATGTCTGTCAAAAGTAGGAGCTCTTAAATGTTCAATTAAAGTCCAATAAAAGGAGGGAAAATGGGAAGTTTGTGTCTCATGTATCTGTAGATATTAACATGAGAAAAAAGAGACAGAAAATCAGTTGTCCATGGACATAAAGACCAGTTGTGTGAGACCTGACATTTTGATTATGTATGAGTTTCATATATGTGAGACTTTTACTGGCTGCTCACTAAACCGAACAACAGCTCTCTTCTTCCCTGTGAGATTAAAATGTGGAAAACATCCACAGAGACTTTGGCTTCTCATAAACAATTATTCACAGTGGGAGCGTGACTCAGCAAAGGATGCACTTGCCCAAACAGATTGTAACCCATGGTTAACCACCGGCTCTCTTTCAGCCACTCCCGAACATCTGCAGGCCAGGTGACTTCCCTTTGACCTCACACCGCATGCTAGCTGGTTAGTGTGACAACTTAAACAACTGTGGAGAATTTTTTTCCCCCTCTCAACATCTTTTGCTAACCGTCCGACGCTCGGCGGTGAGTTATATAAATGCACAACGTTGTGGGATGTCTCTTAAATAGTTCCCGCTAGCTTAACCGTTAGCATTAGCACTTTGTGATGAAATGACTTTAGTCTCGCTAGCATAACGGTTAGCATTAGCGCGTTGTGATAAAATGACTGTAGTCCCGCTAGCATAACGGTTAGTATTAGCACTTTGTGATGAAATGACTGTAGTCCCGCTAGCATAACGGTTAGTATTAGCGCGTTGTGATCAAATGACTGTAGTCCCGCTAGCATAACGGTTAGCATTAGCACGTTGTGATGAAATGACTTTAGTCTCGCTAGCATAACGGTTAGCATTAGCGCGTTGTGATGAAATGACTGTAGTCCCGCTAGCATAACGGTTAGTATTAGCACTTTGTGATGAAATGACTGTAGTCCCGCTAGCATAACGGTTAGTATTAGCGCGTTGTGATCAAATGACTTTAGTCCCGCTAGCATAACGGTTAGCATTAGCGCGTTGTGATGAAATGACTGTAGTCCCGCTAGCATAACGGTTAGCATTAGCACGTTGTGATGAAATTATTTAGTCTAGCTAACAATGTAGAACTCCCATAGGGAAATTGACAATTTAAGGAGTGGTTCTAAGTGAATGCAAAACTATGAAACTGGGATAGGGCTTTTATTTTTAGCCCTGTGTATTTCTGGTCTGTTTTTGTTTTTGTTTTGTAACTTATCACAATCACAATTATACACAATTATAATTCAAATGAGCAATTACCTTTCATCAAAGTTTGAGAATCACAACATGTTTAACACACAGATTAAAAACTGGAAGTTCTAACTTTTGTTGTGGCTTTTTTATGGGTCAGATTTCTTATAGAATCACTGGTCTGGATCGTGATGGCAACAATCATCATCATCATCCACCTTTGATGGCAAGCTACCCTGGATAAAGAAAATGAACCTCGGTTCCACAATGTGGTAGGACAAGGCACATGAACTCAATTCCACAGTAAGTGGTAAAATGAACTGATTTTCACAGCCTGGACTGCGTTATCATTTTTTCCCCTTTCCTTGCAATTTTGCATATTGGAAAACTAATGGAAGTGGCCATATTTTTGGTTTCTGTGTTTTTGTTTTTTTACAAAAAATTTATATATATAATATATCTATAAATATATATATATATATATATTTTACAACATAAAATATTGTTTTGAACTTACCTGTGTCTCCTGCTTGTGGTGTTCATGCAAACTGGGCTCCTAAATGAGCCTGAAATCTGTGCCTTGATTTAGCCGACAATCAAAAATATTTAGAAAATCCAACTTGCTACAAGATGGAAGAGCTGGATGCCTGAGAGAGAACTGCCAATCACCTGTACCTATCTGTGAATACCTGAAGTTTTCTTTGTCACAAGTTGAACTGGGAGCTACTAACCCAGCTGGTAGTGGTCGATCTTCATGGTGGAGTTGGTCAGGGAGCCAAAGATGGTGATGATGGAGACTTTCCTGATGGCCATTTCACACACAGACTCCAGGTACTCATCCCTCTGCTGAACATACATACTGTTTTCCTCACTGGGGGACGTAATCAGCTGCAGGGAGGGAGGTAGAGGTTAGCGTGTCAGGTACATGCAATGAACCACACACATGCACACACATTACACACAGTGTGCTGCAGAGGTGGTGTTTACATTAACCTGCAACTTTCACAGGCTGCTCACAGCACTGCAGTGATAAGAATCTATACTCGCTGCAGAACAGAGACACACAGTCTGTCAGCATACAGATGTGCAGCCTCTCAGATTGCTGGAGGATGGCTGCTCCACGTAGTCTGTTCCTATTTATATACTACATGCTGCATTGTAGAATATAAAAAGGGGGGAACAAGTGAACGATTTGCTGCCTCGAAGCATGGGAGGAATTTTCTGGTTTGTAAAAATTAATGAAAAATAGTTTAGTTATCCAGATGTTAAAATATTTGGCTTTGAGAATGAACTTTCCAGTTCTGTTTTGGAAAACAAACTCCCTCTGATTGGAGCATTTCTTGTAAAATGATGCAGGATGGTGACGACTGTACGTCCAGCTTCACATCTCTGACAAGAAAAACTCAACACAAAGCAGCTTTGTCAAAGATTTATGACTGTGATTTTTAATGGTTTCTGTTGAATCACTTCTCTGATTAGCTCTGTTACTTCTCTGGCTTAGAGCCTCTTATTGTGAAAAAATAATCACGTGTAATTGGTGGAAGAGAAAAAGACTTTTGTTAAAAGCTCCAGTCTCTTCTGATGTAGAAAAGGCTGAAAATTTACAAGGAAAAGTTTGACATTTTGGGAAATAGACTTATTTGCTTTAAGTGCTGTGAGAGTTAGACTTGAAGATTGATACCACTTTCAAGTCTGTAGCCAGCAGCCAGTTAGCTTAGCATAAAGACTTGAAACAGGGCTAGCTAGGCTCTGTTCAAAGGTAACAAAACCCACTTCTTAGCAATGCTAATGCTAACTAATTAGCATGTTGCATGTGTTGTTGCATTTGTGAGAATTTAAAAACAACAGCATAGTCACTTCCTGGTTATCTGGCAGGAAGTGGCTGTGCCTTGCAAGCTAAAATGTTTTAATGAATTAGCTGTTTCCCCCCTGTTTCCAGCTTTATATGCTAAGCTAGGCTAACAAGCTGTTAAATTGAACAGATATTAGAGAAGTATTAATTTTCTCATCTAACTGTTTGAGAGGCAGCAAAAAAGCTAAAACGTGAAATTGATCAAACCTTTAAAGGTGGTGTGTGCGTGTGTGTGCGTGTGTGTGCGTGTGTGTGTGTGCGCGTGTGTGTGTGTGTGGTTTCATAATGCTACTGTATCTGAGGACAAATATTTCCCTCTGGCTGGAGCCTGAAACAGGAGCTTTGCCAGGCAACAGAGTAAGTGAGCCTTTTATGAACTGACTGTTATGTCATGCTCTCACCAGCAGCCGCCTCCTGTTCTCAAAGTAGTCCAGGAAGGAGGTCAAAGATCCCTTCGGAGGGGGCGTTGGCCTCTTAGTGGGTTTCGGGTAGTCCTCTTTCTCGGGGTACTTCAACAGCTTCTTTCCATTTTTCTTTCCCCCGATCTTCCCCTCTTTTCCCGCCTTTCCTCTCCTCTCTGCCTTCTTGGCCGCCTTGTCGGTCTTCTTCTTCTTCTTGTCATGCTTATTGTGCTTGCCCTTGACCTTCTTCGTGGGACTACTGTCAGTGAAGGTTTCGGTCTCATCTGGATCCCCCACCGTCGGCTTGCTGGGTTCGTACTTGTCCTCGTACTCGTTAGTCAACACCTGCATAGATAAAGATACATACACTGTTAATTGATTTCCAAAGCATAACGACCCCAAAAAAGGGATGTTTTAGCACCAAAGTTGTAACAGATAAAAGGGAATTCAGCTGGATCAATTATTAAAGCTCCATCCAGAATCAGAAGAGAGGCTCAGAGCCTCCTCTCTTCTGATTGGCTCACCGACCTGTTGTTACTAGAGCTCCAGAGAGAAGCCTGAGAGAGGAGATGTAAAACTACACTGAGATGGTTTTTATATCTTCTGATGGATCAACACTTCAAAATAAAACAGGAGAGGAGGAAAATATGGATTTCCACTTTCACCAAATCACCTTCTCTCCTCCGTTCTTCTTCTTGGTGGGTTTGATCTTGGAGGGCCTGTGTGTGGCGGGCACCAGCTTGCGGCTGTGGGGGTCTCTGTTGTCCTTGTCGGTGCGGTTGTCTCCGGCCGGCGTGGTTTTAGCCGGGTACCTCTCCCTCTCTCTGCGGCTGTCGTAGTAAGGGTCAGCAGTGGTTCTGGGGGCCGGGAGCCACAGGGCCGTGGTGTGGGCTCTGGTCGGTCTCTGGGTGGTGGTGGTGGTGGGTCTTCTCGTGGTGGTGGTGGTGGTTCTTCTGGTAGTGGTAGTGGTGGGTTTGGTTGTTGTTGTTGTGGCTCTGGTTGTGGTGGTGGTGGGCCGGGTTGTAGTCGTGGTGGTTGTAGTCGTTGTGGTTGGTCGTGTAGTCGTGGTAGCTGTGGTGGTGGTTGTTGTTGTGTGTATGGGCTTCCTTAGGATCTTTTTCCCTGGTTTTCTTTCTATAGGTGTGTCTAATGGTACACACACACACACACACACACACACACACACACACACACACACACACACAGAAATCAGGTAAAAGGTTTCATTACATGAGACAATGAGACAAATTACTAGAAATGTAAACTTTTACATTGCTGTAAATTCTACTATAAATATTTATTTTAGAATGAATCTTTTTCCTCATTATTGATAAAGCTTCAGATCATGTGTTAAATATATTTCCTCACTTGTTATTAGATATCTACTCTGAGTCTTTTACCCCCAGTACAGTGGAAATAGATGACATTTTGTTTGTGCTGCTCGTTTCTTTCTCCTCAACTCTGGATTACCCAAAAAACACTCTGTCATAGTTTTTCACTGGAACTACTTTCTGGTGATGAGATAGTCCCTGAGAGTGTTTCTGTGGCAGCAGCAGAGTGATGAGGAAACACAGAGCTTCCTGGAGGGAGATGTCGATGCTGATGTGACTCTTTATTGCAGTGAAAACCACAAACAACATTTCCCTGCATTGCACTTGTGAAAACACAACTCCCTCCTCTCACCTGTGAGCGTGCCCTGCTCCACCTGACCCTCCACACCTGCTCCTCTACACTTCTGGACGAAGCCTTTCTGCCGGAGCTTCTCCAGCTTCCTCATGGGCGCCTGGTCGATCACCTCGTACATGGCCTCCAGCCTCACGGGGTAGGGGTACCTCTCCTCCACCTGCAGGGTCTTCTTCAGCAGCACCATCCCAAACTTACCTGAGGGTCACAACACAGGATATAGATATGATCAGGTACTTTGTCACGTGCTTACCCAGATGTTGAAGCTCAGGCTGGTCACCACAACAGGAAACATGTTGACTACTGTCACCCTCCTCTAACCCCCCCCTCACCTTTCTCCAGTTTGAGGAAGCTCATGAGTCTGGGGATGAGAGCTGTGTCCAGCGGCTCCTCCATCACCTTCCCCTCCGTGGTGATCCTCCTCACCTTGCCCCCCATCTCTCCCTCCTGGTGAAACATCACGATCTGGTGGACGTGTCGCTCGGCCAGTTCGCAGTACACATCCGGTTTGAGGAGTGACATCATGAGCCTGTAGTAGCCGTCCGAGTCGTGAGGAGCTGAGATCACCAAGACGCGGTTCTTCCCCGCGAAACTGGCCAGCAGGTTCGGTGACCCGGAGCTGCTGGGCATCCTCGCGACCCTGGCCCTCGCCCCCGGCGCGCCCTCATCCTGTTGCATGTCCGGCTGACTGGGCAGGCCGATCCGCCCGGCCGCCCCTCTCCTTGGCACCACTGCCCTCCTGCCCTGCGCGGCTACTGGAACACCCTCATCGGCCTCTACATCTCCCCCGTTTGCGGGGCTGTGTACCGAGATAGCCGAACTGAACCCGGGGCGCAAACGTCCGACCAGGCGCTCCCTGTTCGATGAGCCCACCTGGGCATGTCCCGGTCTGACGCGTCGGTGCAGCTGCCCCCGCTTGAGATGAGTCTGTTTGTCGGCTTCTCCTGTCCAGGTCAGCAGATACACGAGAGCCACGCCGAGAACAACAGCCCTCATCCTGGCGAGGTGTCAGAGAAACAAGGTTCAACACTCAGTGAGGGGCAGATAAAGATCCAGAGGTGGACCGAGATCCCGGCGCGTCTTTAGCGCATTTGAGGTCGTTAATCAATTAATTCCAGATGGAGGCGCACAGCGTGCACGCGACAGGCTGCTCTGACAGCGATCTCTCTCAGAGCATGCCTCCTGATACTGGGGTGGGGGTGGGGGGGTGGGGGTCCACTTCACTGACTGCTCTTTACTTCACACACACGGCGGAGGAGAGAAGAAGTTCGATGTTAAATCCAGAGCTTCATCTCAGCAGCAGCAGCAGCAGCAGCACTTCCGTCTTCACGTATAATCCCCGGAGATGAGGAGCAGAGATCATCTCTGACACACGCGCATCCAAAAACTCTCCAGTGATTCCTCCCCCTCCGGAGAAAATGATTGAAGTCTGTCGAAAAGTTTTGGACCACGTCACATCTCCAAAAATCACGCGCTTTCACTCTAATGACTCATTAACTCCTCCAATTAATCCTCGGTCATTGTTTTTATTCCCGCTGTAAACTGAGAGTCGATCCTCCGGGAGCAGGAAGGAGAGACCTTCCGACTTCACGCAGCAGATTAGATCTGAACCTCTGTGGAAACCTGCGCTCAGTCTGCCCAGGAAAACGCGCCTCTTCCTCTTCTTCTCCTCCTTCTTCCTCCTCTTCTTCTTCTTCCTCCCAGGTTCTCCTTGGCAAATCTGAGCTTTTGGAGGTTTTCCCAGAAATGTCCACACAAAACCTCAAGCCTCCGGACTCTTGGCGACGCAGTGGCAGGACCTGCCCCGGGACTGACGGGTTGCCAGTTCAGTCTGCAAACACCCCCCCCCCTCTTTCACTAGAAAATGCCTTTGTACCAAAACTCTCTCTCTCTCTCTCTCTCACTCTTTCTCTCTCTCTCTCTCTCTCTCTCTCTCTCTCTCTCTCTCTCTCTCTCTGTGCCCGCGCGCTGAGCTGAGCTGGTTTTAGGTTTCACTGAAGTATAGCACATGAAGAAAAGTACATTTAAAGACAGTTAAACACTCTGCCCCCCCGCTGGACACAAGAAGAGAAGAAGAAATGACCATAATCAGCCTCAGTGTCAAGTTCCTCCTTTAAAGCCAAGAGAGAAACGCCCCCTAAACCCCATCCCTCCCCACCATGATATCCTCCAAGTGGACCACATTTTCCCATCCACCTCCAGAGGGCCGCTTCTTATTTTTAGTTTGCAGAAACAGTCGATTTAGAGGGGAAACACAGTGCTGGTGTATACTTAAAACTCAGAGGCTGACCATCCATTTTCTGTCCGTCCAACTGTTTATAGTGAGAAAAAGCCTGTTTATCGCCAAAATAACATAATTGCAATGACTGTCTTTGCTCTTTTATGATGGCTCTTTCCATTTCCTCTAAGAAAGTTTCCCAGTTTGGCTTGTAATTAAAGCCTAAGTAAAGAAAAGTAAACCGCTCGGTCTGAGCCACATCCACTGTCACTGCAGAGGCAAAGCACTGCACAGACTCGACCTCCGCCACAGCAAAATGTACAGCTGCTAATTCATAGAAAAGGGAATGAAATCCACACTAACTCTGCCTGTACAAAACATAATAAATCATGCAGCAGCCGTGCTTCAAGTGTACGGAGTCACAGGAGTGCCAAAAAAAAAACATCTATAAAAGAAAATGAAAATAAATGTGTATGTAAAAGTGGGAATAAATAAAAGAATAAGTTTAGAAAATTGGAAATATAAGCAAAAGCAATAGGTAAAAACAGTAGTAATAAGGTAAAAGCAAGAACAACGGGTAAAAGCATATTTATTCTTTGTATATTTCACTTTATATTTACACATTTTTTAATTCAGTTATTTATTCCTGTTTATATTTCTTGTACTTTTACATTTTTATTCTTTTTTATGGCTCCATACTGGTGCAGATGGATGCAGATGATTTGAAACAGCTGGAAATAATAATATACATTCCTGGCTAGACTTTGGTGAAGAGATGCTAAAAAAAAAAAAACAACGCTAAAACAATTAAAAGTGAAAACAATTAAGAGTTAAAGGCTGTTGCCTCTAAACCAAGAGGAACAGGAGGATGTCAGCTGTTTATTTACACCATCACTGGGACTCAGGCTCTGCAGCTACAAGCTGCTGAGCTGCAACTAGGAAACAATAGACACTGCTGACTTCACACGCAGGTTCCCCAGACAGCGAAGCTGCTACTGGATAGAAATGTTTTTGGATCAGAGAGGAAAGCCTCAGCACTACATCCTGAGTTCCTCCTGATGTCAGTGGATAAGAACCGCTGCAGGACAGAGAGCCATCGCGATCATGTGATCTGGGTCAGAAGTCAGTGAGAAGATGATACACAGAGCACTGATTGTTTTATGAATGTAGGGATGATCACAGCTCCAAAACCTGAGGCAGCTATCTAAAAACACACACAGTTACATGTTCGTCTAAGTGATCTGAAGTCATTGTACTCTTGACATATGACCTGCATCAGTGTAGCTGAGGTGAGAACAGTTTCCAAACTAATCAACCCTGAAAGTACAAAATCTAAACTGATCGATTTCATCATAAAACTTGGATTCATAAGTGTGTTCACTGATTTAACTTTTGCAAGTGATAGAGGAGAGGAAAGGTGAATTTTGATTCCTGAACCAAAGTCCTGGACTAAAGCTAGCATTAGCACACATGTACTTCCTGTTGCTGTTGGCTCCACAGGTACGCCCTCTTCACCTGATTGGTTAAAACTGGTCGAGGCATGCTGATGTAAGCACTCGAGATATTTTGTTTCACAAGAAGAGATTGAATTTTGAAATAACAACAAACAAAGTGAGGCTGTCCTGTAAAATAAAAGAGCCCACAGGTCGTCTGTGCAGCAGGTCATTATGACATCATAGTTAGGTTTTGTTGCTAGGCGACATCTAGTGGTCGTAGTAATGATGACAGGAGCAAAGGGGAAAAGTGTCGGCGACGTTGTAGAAAGAGAGACAAAGTCTACGTCAGGAGGAGGAGGTGGTGGATGGATGAATGTGACACAGGAGAGCCGTGTGTTCGATTCCCATGTTGTTTCTGTTATCCATCACCGTTTGTTGTTATTATTGTAACCATGACAACCAAGGTCCAGTACGCTTGCCGCTGTATTCAGGAGACGCTCCTATGGGTCGTATCAGAGGGTTGAAACAAATGACCTCTGTGGTTGTTCAGGTTGATTTTTCATTTGAAGTAGTTTTATATGATAAAGTGTTTGAAATTTATGATAAGCCTTTAATTAGAAAATATAAATAATCATAAAATATCTTGTTTTTGTAGGAATTTTCAAGCAGAGGGAAGAAAACGAAGAAGGAAAGATGGACAACAGGAAGAGTTCAGGTGAAGAGTTTGATGGTTCAGGTGTTTCTTACCCTGTGATGGGGCAACTTGTCACAAAAGCACATTGTGTACTGAACCATTTATAACTCTATATTAAAGTGAGTACTAAAATCTAAAGAGTGTACATCTGTAAACGAGATTTATTGTTTAATTTAATGTGTAAAATGAGTGACTGTGATGCACTGAGGCCAAGACACTGAGGTGAAAGTAAAAAGTGTGACAAGACGCCTCGGGCTCTTGACACAAGTCTGTGGTTTGCTCTGTAATTACCCTCGCTGTGTATAAAGTCACTGTCGTCCTCTGCACAGACCGTTCACTCTGAACGAGCCAGAGGGCAAATCATTCCCAGCTCTGCCAGCTGTGGACGCCGCCATGTATTTTACTTCGGTCTGGATGGTTCTTTATTACAGACCTTCGTGACCTTCAGACAAACCAGTGAAATCATCATCATCAGCAGTCGTCCACATTCAGCTGCACATGCACCAGGCAGGAGAGAAGCAGATGCACAAGGTTTAGGCTGCAGTTTTTAACATCTGGATCATGTGGAGTTGACATGTGCAGCTGATGGCGAGCCGCTCAACTCAGCATCCAGCAGCCCACTCCATCTAATGATGATGATGATGATAAACGTCTTCATCTTCTGGAGCTGTACGACATGAGTTTGGTGGCTCAGCAGGTCACAGAGCGAGCTGGCTGCAGGACACGCTGTGCAAACTCAAACTGGGTGACTGAGTACGTGTTAACACTGGAAAACCGACAAAACCAAAGTATGTTTTTGGTGGACACTCTCGTCCCACAATGCACAGAGGAAACGACGGAGCAACTTCACAGCTGGAAAGAATTAAAAGAAACTGCAAACGGTGGCGAGGCGGATCCAGGAAGAGCTTGGAAAAGAGACAGCAGAGTTTTAACTCTTTGTCTCTTTGTTAAGATGAACTATAAACGTGGTTTGGCTGTTCACACGTAGCATGGGAAAAGGTCACAGCTCAGGAAAACATCAGGACACTTTGTTTTAGAAAGAGACATATTGGCAACATTTTTCCAGCACCACCCTCGTCCTGTTAAAATGCAACTCCTCACTGAGTCTGACACCCCCACACACAAGCCTGCAGCCATCTGCGTCTCACATGTTGCGTTCAAAGGCGTTTCACGGGCAGAGTAACTTGTCTGAAACCTCGCTGACATCTTGAGTCAGCGCTCAGATTTCGTGATGAATCTCAAATGTCCCATAAAGCAGCGAGTGGTGTGTGGATGAATGGCAGCCTGCTACATCCCCGGTTTTAAGGTGGTCGGGGGTCAGTGGATGTGGGGGGGCCATGCCTCGGAGTTTCATCATCAACTTGACATTGATACAGAAACGTGTGAAGTTCAGGAGCAGTTCAACCATGTATCCTGATATCTCCAACATCATCTCTGCTCTGCTGTGTTAGGAACTCTCTCACTCCGCTGCCACATCCCGACCCCAATGAATTCTTGTTGAGGCAGCACGTTTAGTCTGGGCCGGCATTCATAAACAAGACGACCTTTGACCTCCCACCTTGACCTCTGAACTCTCCTTCTGGTTTCATCAGCCTGCCAACAGGTCAGTGAGAGGTGCATGGCTGCAGGCAGACGGATCAGACTACGTTTTCATCAGAGGATATTTCATTGATACAAAACAGGCTGAGAAGACAGAGATAATTCAGGTGTAACACAAAACATGACATTCTCACATAAAATACTGTGAAAAAACATTAAAGCTTCACATTTTCTTCTTCTGTGTTTTATTTGAAGTGTTGATCCATCAGAA